GGAGATGTTGGGCTTGAGTGGCTTGTGGTTCTTGAGGGCTTGGCTGATGTGGAGGCGGGCGTCGTCTGCAGCGCTCTTGTTCAGGTGGCGAAGGGCTGGCTCAACAAGTTCGTACCGAGGGCAAGGACTCTGGATTCCGTGGGTGACAAGTGGCGGTGACTGAGGTTAACCACGGTTTGCCTTGTGAACTCAGCTTGTGAACGGAGGTGGGGCTTAGTAGGGTATGGACATGAGGATATAGAAGATCCTGTAGTCCGAATGGGAATATGGGATTTGCTCTGGTTCTTGGAGAGGCAACGGAATTTTTTGATCTGTCGGCGGCAAGTTCCACATTATTGATACACCTAAAGATGTCGACATCCTCGCTGGATGCGGGATGTCATCCTGCTTTCCAGGATGTCGACTTCCTACTTTGATGTCGTCATTCTGTGTTCAATTAACTCAACACGTCATTATTTCGCCTATAATATGTCGCCATTCAGGATCTCAACAAGTCAGATCGCAGTTTTATCATTAATCTTGGCCCAAGCCCAGATCTGAATTTCAGGTTACAGGTCGTCTCTTGTGAATACAGCGCCCTCTACTGGTTACCACTATACGATTGCACTCGTCAGCGCGTGTCACCCCCGCGCAGTGACGTGAATCTGTGTTTGAAATTGGATGGATGGGGTGGTGAAACGTGGGAGGAATGATTTGCCCGGCTATGGAAATTTGAAAAGCGGGGGGGGGGGTTAGGTGACACCATGGGGCGATGTTCATGATAAAGACGCACATCTGTAATGTGTATCAAATTCATGCAGAATCTTACATCAGGCTGGTATCGGCCAATGCGTGGCTTTTTTTAAATTGTTTTCCTTTTTAGTGATATTGCAAACATTTTAGTAGCTGGGAAATCCTGAAAATTCATCACAATCCGCTTTAACTTTTTTGCTCATCACAAAAATGTCAGGGGAGGGGGATCATTCAATAGCCATCCCTCCCCACTCAAAAAACAGGTGGCCCCCGGGATTTACACCCATGCTCCCGCGCAGTATCCAACTCGAGCAGAAGCACGTCGGGCCGTGTTGGTCGGGAGTGTTCGTTTTGATAGTAGCGATGCCGCCGTGGCGTCTCCATTTCCTAATCCGTCGTTCGTGGAACAGCGAAGTTCACTTCCGACCAAAGGAACCTCCGTTGCTAAGATAATAGCGCCCTCTCTTGGTCGAGCTTGAGGCCCACACGGAGACAAAACCCGCAGCCGTGAATTGATGCACGCACATCATCCGTTGTACTGTACATGTACGGCGTGCCAACCACTCGTTTGTGTAGATCTGTGCTGGACCATTTCAACGCTGCCAATGTTCATTTGTTGTTTGCCCCTGTCAGCATTGCCATAAATATTGTACAGCCACTTTTGTCTGACAGTCGTTCTTTATAGAGTCCCAGCGCAACGCTTCCCGCCAATTAACGTGTATCTTACACCAACTGACGTCTTCTGACAATTGGCTACGAATCTTCCGACGAATAAATGCACACGCCGGAGTGTGGTATCACTACTCCAGTTTTTCAAAAGCCCCAAACCAGGCCTCTTCACATTGTAAACGCCCGGCAATTAGCGAAAGCAAGGCTGTTTTGCAAACGAATTCATTCTTCAAAAGGGCAGAGAATAATGGCCATTCACTTTTTTTTCTACAATCACAATGCCACCAGTTTGGGGGGAAAACAATAAAAAGTGGTGTAACGAAAACGACCAAGGACGACCACTTGTGCCCCATAGTAAACAAGTCATGTTTGCACCGGTACGGTACTGACCGGGGGGAGGGTTCGATAGCGCAGGCTGCTCAGAACGGTTGCCTAGTTTCTGTAGTGAAAATGGTTTAACAAAAATGTTTCACGTGTGAAAGTGTGACTGATTTCCATATAAAAGCGGCATAACAGTATCAAAGTACCATCTAAGTCAAGCGGTTGCCGCTGTCAGAAGCGTTGTTAGTATTACCATTTTATCAGAACTTCTGTATTTCTCCGAGGAACCCGTTTCTTTCAGCGAAGCTTACACTGTAAAAACTCGGGTGTTCAACTCAACACTTTTGGGTGTTATCAGATGACCACGCCATAGTGTGCTACTTTAACACTGATGATGTTACTTTGCACACCTATAAATGTTATAGTGCACTAGAAGGTGTTACAAGTAACACCAAATAACACCAAAATTTTAACACCAGTGAATAAAAGTGTTAGTGTAGTCTTCTGATAACACCGTGGGCGTTAAATTTGACCCCCCAGTTTGCAGTGTATGGGTTCTTCAACATGAAAGGTCGAAGCTCTTATTTAAGTTCTATTGTCAAAAAGTTAACGGAACGATTTGAACTTTTTGTCATGAAATAAGAAGGGATTAATAAATCCACAGACTGTGTGTGGAGAGAACAAAATGGCTGTTTAGAAATCATGTCGGCCTTTCCCATACTAGACACACGATGTCTGTACCGAACAAATAAGAGTACTGGAATAATGGAATTGCACGTAAGTTCGTCGGGGCACTGCCACCAGCAACATGTTCGCTGCTGGGAAACATAACAATCCAGTCCTAAATACACAACGTGTCTTTTACACTGAACCGTCTGCAAAAATGATTGATATAATGACCTGGGTGTTAGATTTCATGTCGCCAGTTGTCGGAACCTATACCAAATCATGCACGCCGTGTTGACACAGACAACCACACCAGCAAGTAACCCGCACGTGCTGGGGTTGAACCCCACGACCCGGGAGATCATGTGCCAAGCTCTAACATTACCTTCTAGCTCTAGTTGTACTTTTCTCGATGTATGTATTTATTTTTCTTCGACATCTGTGCAGGGCCTGTTCGTTAGGCAGTATTTTTCTAAAGAATGCCTTATGTTCTTGTTGGAACACCATTCCTGAAAAAAGGGTTGAAGATCTTAAGGTTCAAAGAATTTGTTTTAGATTTAATTCATCATTCTTTTCAAGCACAACAAGAAGTTTTTTATATGTAAATGATCCACTCCAACGGGTAGGCGTGACTATTGAAGTACTTGTGATGTGTACCAGGATGGTGGCCCATTATGATCAATGCTACGGAGTTATGAATGGGGACCATGTATACCCCCACACGGAGTCTATAGTTCCGTATCCACAAGCGTGATCGATCAAGCCCAAGCCTTCACGGGGGAGCCGTTACTAAGGGAGCCCTTTGATAGTCACCATGGGGTGGAACGGACCCTTTGTCCCGTTACATTTTCTGCTCGTTAACAGCGCCATCTGTGACCGCATTGTAATCGTCAGTGTACGTTCGTGTACACACAGGCTGCGGATTCGTGCTGGCGCGATTGCGTCCGTAGCAACCCGGCTTGCTCATGCACTGCATAATGCATTAGCAGAGTGGCTCGGCGTTTCTATAAACATAAATCGGTCGTGAAGAGAGTGGACGGAGTAGATCATCGTGCGCGTGTTGAGAGGATTCCCCGCATTTTGAGTGGACAAATCTAAATGTCAAACACGCAGGACTGGACACGCTAACAGTTTGGGAGTTTCAGACTTCTGATTTCCCTCAATTAACTGGAGCAAGTGAAATCCACAACCCTTCCAAAGCCTTCTCAAATCTTGAAGTTTCCACAGTCAATTCACGAAGCCCACCTGTTGAGTTCAAGCTGTTACACTTGACATCCACCATTATTTAACTTTCTAGATACGGCGAGAACACACAGCTAGAAACCATGCAGGACTACTACGGACAAACCATGACGGCCAGCTACTTCTCTGCCCCGCGAGTGGGCATGGGGACGAGTTACCTACCCCCGTTGGAAAGTACCATGCAGGCATCGTACAAGAGTTACGCACCCCCATTTGTTGTGAGCCAATCCCTTAACCTGCCATGGAAGCCAAGCACCTACCAGCGCGGTGCAATGAGGTCCATGCCGACCAGTCTGAGCGCCCCTGAGCTGAACCCAAGCACCTTGTACCGCGACGATGTGGTTTCCAAAGTTCCCCCTCTCATGCCGTCGGCCCGCACCGCCCTGTTCTCCAAGTACACCCCGACGGATTGGTTCAAGTCCAACAACCAGAACTATCGTTCCTCCGACATGACCCGCAGTGCGGCCCAGCGCCTCCGAGACGAGAACGTCCGCATCTGTCACGACACGGACGCCCGCACTGTCAAGACGCAGCAGGAGTCCAGCAAGAACCTGGGCAACCGCCTTCAAGACATCAACTTTTGGAAGTCCGAACTCAACCACGAGCTGGACGAGATGGGCAAGGAGATCAACGACCTGGTCGCCTGGAAGCAGAGGACGGAGAACGCCTTGAAAGAAACGGAGGGACCCCTCCAGATCGCTCAAGAGTGCCTGTTCAACAGAGAGAAGAGACAGGGAATCGATCTAGTCAACGACAACGTTGAGAGGGAGTTGATTAAGGTAAGAGACAATTTTGGAAACGATGAACTTGCTGAGAACTAGTATGGAGTCTTTTCTGTTGTCAGTCTGAGTTTGATTATTTATATTTCCTACATTTGCAAATATTCAATTGAAAAACTATACCCAAAGCATTCTCTCGTTAAAACAACTTGAGCATTTGTTTTTCAATTTCAACAAAAATTTGTCCAAGAATTTATTATAACATTTATAGGCAATAACATGACGGGTAAAACTCGTCCCTCGTATGCACGAGAGAACCCCCAAACAAGGGATCACCTAGGGAACAAAGTTCAAGATGTTCCTATCACAATTCTAAATACTTATTTTCTGGATTAAAGAGGCTGTCATCTTCTTATACTTTTGATTAAGCACCGCAGTGCATGATAAATATCCGCGTCAATTCTGGCTGTATTGACTTAATGGCAAAGGACAGCCGCTCAAGTGCAAAGTGTGGGTTCAAATCAAACAATGCTAGAAAACAGACTAGCACACGTATTCATCATAAACTTGCATTTAGAGCGATGGGGTCAGCTAAATGCACTCTTGCCAGTACAAAAAACCACAAATAGGTGTCATGCGTCCCACCTAAACTTTACCAGAATTTGCCAACTTTCAACGTTATGGGATATATTTACGCGGCAGGGACGCACCAGACACCCCCCCCCCAAGTGACTAAGCCTTCAGATCATGGACTTAAAGTCGACTTAAATACATGTGTAATCCGGCTTTTCTGCGGATTAGATTGGTTGGTCCAAACCTCCGCTGTGCGAGGCACAAACCTTTATTTATTGCATGGATTAGAATATTTACGAACAGACGGGACAGTCTTAAATCAAGCCGCACTTGTTAGGTGTCTGTTTTTTACCACTTCAGCCTTGTTGACTTTAGTACTCTTTCCATGCATTTAAGAGTTCGTGTTTGTCTCGTGATATTGCTTTTAAAATTGAAATTCTATATCCCTGAATAAAACTTGCAGTGTTTATTAAACCCTTCCCTGAATGCTTTTATTGAACAGGTAGATTATTTTACTTCATCACACTTGACTGTTTCCCTGCTCTGTCGGCCACATAGAATGTACTGACATATAAATCACTTGCGATGCAAAAACTGAACAAATATTAAACTCATCAATCACTTATATTACTAAAGTGCTGTGATCATAAAACCGTTAAAATGCTTCATGTTATTTAGGAATGCCAATGGTACATGCTTAATATGTCTTTGATTCCTATTATCTATAATATTTTGTTTTAAACAGTCTGCAAATCCAGATCCGAAGAGTAAAATAATTACCATAAATCATGACTGTTTATCGTCTTTTGTTTATATCTAGGAGGTAAACACTATCCGCGAGAGCCAAAACAAGTTGAGGAAAATGATCGACCGTGCCAACACACAAATAAGGTGGGTAGAGACATTTTATTGCAAATACCGATTTCACGGGAATGAGTTTTTAACCTTTTTGTTCGTTATTTATTCGATTCGCTTGTTCCTTGTCAATTGTTCAGAGACCCAGCAATAACGTGAACAGGTTTAAATGGGTTGAAGTAGGTGTCGTCATTTTGCTATACTCTTCAGAATGAAATGATGCACCCAAAACAATTACTTTATTTTCTAATAAATTATAGTTAAGATTCAATGGAACTGTGGGACTTTCTTCGGGAAGTATTTTGGCCCCTGGTACTGGAATATTTCCAATATTAAGTTAGTCCGTTAAATACACCACACTGTAGTGGTCACAATCGACATGATAAAATGTTGAAATAACACGTCATCTGATTCCACGGCTTTGATCCAACATGATAAAGCCGCATATAATTGCCTAGCAACGTATAAATGCCCAACTATCATCAGCATAATGACAGATTGAAAATTCCTCCCGTGGAACCAACAATAGGCCTATCTATAACCCACCACCGACTGTTGGACTTGTGTATATCCGGCTTAGACTCCCTCTGAGTACACGTTGAAATTTCGCCCATCCTGCCTTTACTCCGTCAAATCTGTAACATCAGACTCGAATAAAGAGCCAGTCATGTGATATACATGTACATGTGCAAATGTACATGTACTTCCATATTGCTATATACGGCTGTCTTACCGCGTACAATTTCTGTGGACGGCCAAAGTTAAATACCAGCGTTGGTTTGTGCCAATTTTCCCCATAATGTAAATTCGCAGCACTGCTTTTAAAATTTAGAGGGGCCATGTTTTGATTTTGTCTTTAATAGAAGTGTTTTCACAGCTGTGTGAGACTTTTTTTAGTAAGTAAATTACCCTTTGGGTTTTGTATTGACGGCCAGCTTTTTAGCCAGCCACTTGTAGGCAAAATGACTGACGAAGTCGACCCCGACTTTCGAATTCAATACCGCACTAAGGGGTTGAATGTCTTCATTGAGACACTCCTCCACGAAAACGCGGTACAGAGGTACAAAAAGTTCACTCAAGGTCTTGATGCAACAATATATCAGATTTGGCACACATTCACTCAAAACAAAAGGGCGATAGGGCATTGGATGTTGCGGATCGACTTAAAACCGAAGCGAATGTCTTTAACGGATATCGTGCACGATATGAGAACGATGGGTACCGCCCCTAGACTATTGTTACCTAACATCCCCCCTCCCGAAATCTATAAAGAATTCCTGAGATTCCGATCAAACAATGACCAACACAAAGGCGGGGGGGGTTCTCTCCGCCCCATATCTTGCATCATATGCTACAATGAGCATGTCCGCTACCCATAGAAACCATACAGAAAAAAATGACGATGTGGTAGTAACCACTGTGTCATGTGATCCGGGTAATAATAAAGGTCACATCAGTAAATGTAATTGTTAGTAGGACTGGCATCTAGTCATTGCCTTGTGCACGTTGCTTGTGTTCGTTACACCGTGACTCAACAGCCCATTTACAGTTGTCAATGCCCTTGAATTGAACCACACAGGGACAGGAATAATCGGCATAATGACGAGGATGTTGTTGCTAAGGAAACCACATGATGTCAAACAAATTCTGAACAGTCAGGTGGTTCATCGTTATGTTTGACATGCCATCAAACAAGCCAACCATGATTAATTACATAACTGCCCGCAGTTCAAAGTACATAAAAAAGACCACTACCATGTAATTATATTCGGCTTCCATAAGATTTGGTAATCCTGTCTCGCGAAAAAAAATTTCTTTCGTTTCGCTATTAATCATGAATTCATTAAATCACTATACATGTATTTCCCCCGTTCTAATAACAAGACTCAGAGGTATTACAAAATATCCTTCATGTCAGTTGCAGCGAACGAATTAGAAGAATTAACAATGGAGTTGATTCCTTGATTCTCTTGAATTTTCTCACAAAGACTTTTCTAGCTCTGTCTTTTTATTCTGTTGCCATCCTGTCCATTACCATTTTGCGCCAGTACCTGCAAAAGTGTCCCGGAAACCGTCATTCAATCCCGAGGCGATTTCCCACCTGTCGCAGTCCCAGAAGCAACCGCAATTTGAAACGTAAATGAAATGAACTCAAAACGAGTTCTCACTTGAGCCTGTATACAAGAGAAGCGTCCCCACCCTTTCTTCACGGTTCAGTCGCAGCATTGAACACGTAAACTGTGAGTGGATCGTCCGGATCCGTATCCAAGGAAATATTGGAAGTCTGGTGACGAGTCAAACGACGCCTTAGAAAATAGACACATTTCGCACCAAGTCGAGGAAATTGTGGTCACAGATGAAATTACACCTGACTTTCCGATGCGGCAGGTGCACTTTACGTGGAATTGCTATCAATCAAATGACACTTCTGTTTAAAAAAAATCTGAATTATTCAGATTCTGTCTTGCAGTGATTTTCTGTATAACAGTCCGGTCCTTTATCAACTGCCTCAGACCAGACCGACATTATGCTTGTCAATAGGCGTTCCATACAAACTAACCAAGTGTACAGACCACTTTTTAGACGGAATTGACTTGAATCTTTTACCACAATATACACATAAATACCCCCTTTGAGATCAATTCTGTAATGTTTTTCTACAGCATGAGCCGTGCTGCCCAGCATGAGTTGGAGAAGGACCTGACGGACAAGTTCCGCGCCCTGACAATTGACAACAAGTGTCACCAGCTCGGCAACACGTCGCACGGCCTAGCGTATTACCGCGGGATCGAGGGTGTGGATCAATGGTAAGGATTTGTCCCTTCACGTAGGGCCGAGGTTTCCATACACACAAAGCAGACACCAATTCAATTTCTGGGCCAGTGGAAGATTTCAATTCAACTTTTCTTGCACCCTTTGTTGAAAATGGTCTCAGTGTTTATACCAAAAACTTAAGAATTAGACCGGGGGTACCGGGGAGTGGCATTTTTGTCAAGAAATGAAGTGACAGAACTCCCGTTTACCTTTCTTTATATCCATATTTACACATAATCACAGCACTGGTGACACGTACCGGTTGTCCATTCCACTGAAACAAAAAAATTTACTTACAGTACTGTAGCCTGCTGTCAGAGCAACTTTTTCAATGAGATTGCAGGCTAGTTTAGACCCGTCTACGTCCATTATTTCGGAATTATGGGGGAGCCTTGTCTCATTTTTATTGAAAACAACCCCTCAACGAGCACAATTTGACATTATATTGCGGGAAGGACAAAATTACGTTTCAGGTTTCGCCATAATGCCAACTTTGAGGGATTATCAAACAGCTCTGGGACAAGTCGTTGGACGAGAAAATTCAAAACCAGATAATTACTCATATCCCTAGTTACTGCTTGTTATGGTCCTTTGAATCACCAGTAAGTATCCTCGTAACTTTTCCATCCATAGCACGTACAAAAAGTGCAGCAGAGAAAAGAATAAATTACTCTTAGGGAAGTCGTCATCTACAATTGTGCAGTTTCCAAATAAGGTTTATAACAACTACGACAACACTGTTTCCCATTGTAGCAGAGTTCTTGTTGATGTTGCTGCGGCAACAGTTCTTTGTTCTTGCGCTAATGTGCCACACTGATCAGACACAGACAAGACGCGATGCCAAAACGTATGCATGGTGTTTGCGGACCATTCTCGAAAGACACCGAGCGCCATTCACGCTGTTGTTGAGAATGAAAGTAACGTAACTTAAACCTAACAGACTAAACAAATTACAAAACGTCTTTAAATTCTGTTCTCGCAAGCTCGTGTCTGGCGGTTGCTAAACACCAAGGCTGAAGCTTCTTTTGGCGCTGTTGATTTTACTGTAACAATAGAAAGAAACCAAAGTCTGACATTCACATGTTTCTTTCTACAGTATCTAGGCTTATTAGCTAATAAGGTCTACACTGACCAAATATTTTGAAACCAAAGAGGGAATGGGGCTAAAGTGGTTTATATAGTGTGTAAGGACTCAACAAACATTTGGCGGTAAACAGGCTAGGGGATTTGGTCAGCCAACGGAATCAGGGACTCCAAGCAGGGGGTTCGATGCTTCGTGAAATGCAAACATTAGCGAAGGGGTTTGCGATAACCTACCCGCGCGCCAAACCCTTGGCCAATATAAAGTGGCACAAGATGGCGCCCGTTGCTGGGCACTGTATCAACACAAACGCAGTTGCCCTAACGATGGTTGCCATGGTCAGTAAAAGAGGGCTATCATAGGGGCCATGAATTTTTAAGTCGGGGCTTGTGACCTTAGAACACACTCCAATGAATAAATGATTAAATGTGTGGTGTTTAGTGGGACAGCCTCAAGAGTCGAAATGAATAATGAACAAGACCCAGCAATACGGTTCCTTTCTATAAGCCCTTGCCTGTGCCACCCTTCGTATCTTCACCCTTCCCGGGGTAAGAACATGGGTCTTGACAACCAAAATGCTGTTAATAATTAACGAGATTCCCCTTTCAGTTCTTCTTTCTGAAACTGTCGACATTACAATGGCGAAATTGGTCGTTCTGAGCCTCCGGGTTTTTTGTCCCCCCCCCACTTTCTTAATTTTACCAAGTCATACAATTTGTGAAGCAAACACTCATCAGGAAAGCCCCCATTCTTCACCGATATATATTGCATTTGTAAGTATTTTTTTCCTTTTTGATGGATGTCTTAGAGATATTAATAATGCTCATGTAAACGTGCACTGAAACAATGTTGCTCTTCACAGTGTCTCAATCCCCGAATCCTGGGCCAAGTTCTCCAACGACAACATTCTGCGATCACAGAGAGAGCGCAACGCGTCCAAGGGCCTGCGCGGGGACGTCGACAGCACCCTCCAGGAAACGTCCAACGACATGTGGACGCAGAACAACGCCGTGAACGTGGCCTTCTCGGCGCGCATTGCCGAGACCATGGACGCACGCAACAGCCTGCAGTCGCATCTGGCCAGGGTAAGATTATCCGTCGACCCTGAAATTGGGCCGGTCGGAATCCCGACCCCTACATAATGTTTGCTTTTGCCCAACGTCATAGTCGTAGTTTTGCCCATTGGTGGTTGGTAAAACAATGGATGACCGCCAAAAGCCAAAGAATAATTCTCGACGTACAGAAAAATCTAATGTAGGAGTAACACCCAATAATAAACACTACTATCAAATGAAAGTATCGCGCTCTCTAAAAGTTATTAGCAACTGTACATTTTAAGTTGATTCTGACACCAAGCTCGGATATTTGTGCAAATGTTTGCCACCTAGACGAGTTGTAGGCCATTCAAGGGAGCTCCGTTCATATATGCTCTTATTATCACCACCTTCATGCAAAGCAAGTTTGAGAATTATGTCTTACACACGTGTTGACGTTGAGGTTGAAAAGTAATTCCTAAATAATCCCCCAACAATTATATAAAACAGAAATATTGGTTTTAAAGAGGCGCCCAAACCACAATTATGAAGAGCTGTTAAGATTTAAAGCCTTGCTTCACTAATCTCTGTCATGATCAGGTTCTCCAAGAGATCAATGAGATGGAAAACAACATCGACGTTCTTCGCAAGGCTATCGCCGACAAGACCGCGCCGATGCAGGTGGCCCAGTCCCGGTTGGAAAGCAGGACGCGCCGCCCCAACGTGGAGCTGTGCCGTGACCAGCCGCAACACAGGTGAGTGTTGGAGGGGATCCCAGTAGAGGAAGATATGCCCCCTCCCCTGCGGTATTGTGGAATTAGGCATATCATGTAGATTTGAACTGGAAAAATAAACAAACTCTGCCACGTACAGTTCATTGTTACAGTGAGGTGCTCCTAACATAGAGTGAGTTTACCTAACGACCCTCCACACAACCCTTGAATGATTTTGCCTGGTATCCACGATGCATTTTATTTATATTACTAAGGAAATCTGACCGGTGTTTAATAAATGCTCATCACTCGAACTCACCCATGAATGTTTGAAACTAACGGTAGAGCGTTTTCTTGTTCAATATCTAACGATAAAGCAAAAAGCAGAGCAATTTTAACGTTGATTTTTTCTGCAACTGTACCCGAAAAGTGCTGAAAACATCATATTTCAATTAATTAGGAAGATCACTATCCTGGGAACTGAATCATTACAACCAAAAAGATAGATGTGTGTACAAGTAGTAAATACTGAAAACGTATTGTCACGTATTTTTCATTGCTTACCTTTCCACTATTTCAGACTGGTTCGCGAAGTGGGTGAAATCTACGAGACAGTAGACGTTTTGCAGAACCGTCTCCGTGCAGCCGAGAGCGCCCTCCAGGAGCTGTGCAACACCAAGACCACTTTAGAGCACGACCTGGGCGTCAAGAACAACAGCCTGTACATCGACAAGGAGAAGTGCATGGGTACCAGGCGGACATACCCGACCACAGCCAAGCTGGCTGGTTACCGAGGCCAACCGTGAATCCGTGGGTGGATTCCTGTCAGAGTTGTAACCAAGTTATCACAAGTCAGATAACAAGCAGTCCAAAGTCAAGCTGCAAGCTATTCAAATGCACCGTAAAAACTATAAAGCTATAGAGGCCTTACCCTTTGTCATGAAAAGTGGGACCATTGGAAATGGTGTGGGTATGGAAATTTGGGGAACGCGACTAAGCCTACATCAAGAAATCTACGTACGCGTACATTCACGAGTATAACCAGTGATTTGGGCGGCAACTTTTCCATGCGATGCACACGTCTCCCTCATGTGCCATTTGTAATGGTGCCCGCTATAATGTCCACCTACTTTTACCTAATATTTGACTCTTTGTCTAATCATGTGACCCACGTAACCTGGTTGGCCTGAATAGAGCTCTGTTCGTTTGAAGAATTCTGAAGTTTGAAATTTGCAAGAATTTGCGTGTTTGTTATGGCCCCCATCAGACTGATCGGATATGCACTGCATCTTGAATGGTAACTCCAGTAAATGTCAATTTTGTACTCTCGAAAGTATTTTGGTGTGTAGACACAAGGTATGACACAAGATGTGTCCGTAATTTAAAAGGTAGGCATTACGAGTTGTAATTATTTTTGACTAATAATATAAAAACGGAGATCACTAAAAGGGTGCGCTATGTAGCATTGCTACTGCCATGTTATATTGCCTATTATAGATTCCGTCCAGAATTGCAGAAAGCTGCGCATGTCAAGTACAGTATGTACATGTACATTGCCTAATTTTTGTAAGTTCCAATTAAAATTATGGTGAAATTTATTTTTACACTGAGAAAAACCTAGGCATTAGATAAACTCACATTTAAATTTGCCTGCACGAAAACCAAACACAGATGTGAAAGATTAAACATTATAATGTGTACACCCTGAAAGTAGAATTGACATGTACTAACGTTTGCACATAATTAACTGTAAGTATATGCCCACCGTTTGATTCAGTAATTGCCATATAACTCAAACAGCCGTCGGAGGACATTCATGTTTTGTCACTAATTACGCATTTTTTCTTTCCAGATGGCTGTAAGAGATATTGGCATATTATGCATGTGTGCTTTTTAATGAAACCGCAAAAACATATTTTGAGTTGAAAAGGTAAAATGTGTGCCATATGTGTTGGTGTATGGCTAACTGATCTAGGCTGTACAGACAAAACAAAGAAAGCCAGCACAGTTAATTGGCACTACACCTGTTACGGCCTATTTTTAGCAAAATTGGCTGTTGCTGTATATAACTGGGAAAAATATTGTTGAAAGAGGCTTAAATTGTGTAATTTCTTTGTGGCAAGTGATTAACGTTAATTGTAAATACTGGCTTTTTTCCCCTTTCTTTTTGTCACATTTGCAATCTATCTTAATGCATGAAATAATTGATGAAACCTGTGTGTGAATTGGCGTGTCACCTTTAACAAATTCGGCAGTTTGATAGTTTTCTGCACAAATTGAAAATATTTATGCACTTGTTCTTCGAAGAGTAAGGGGGTAGGGCTACATGTAGTTTGTTTAAGGTAAACTTAAACTCCTTAGGGTTTTGTAAACTCATGTTGAATTTGGAGGATTTAGCTCTGTTAGAGGTTAGATACACTGTTCTATTCAATTTGTGCAGATAATATTGAAATGCCGTTTTTGTGTTTTCACTGCATGCAAATGTTTTGTTGTATAAGCAGATCACGGAATGTTACATATGCGGCTGCGCAGCGAAGGCTAACTTACTGTAAAAAATAATAATAAATGAAGTTTGTTGAAAAGTGTTGTTTGTTGAGGAGTCATTTCGTGTCTTGACTTTTGTAGTACAAATATGGGGATGGAAAATGTTGCATCCTGACTTAACCTTTTTTTTCCTTCATGTATCACACCAGTGAAGATCAGCTATTGTGAAAAAAATTGAAAAGACATTAACATGAGACTGAAAACCTGTTTTCATTTAGTTCAAATGCAATTTGAATATGGCTTTTGAATCACCATAGACTTTCCACATTAAATTAAGCAGGCAAGTGGCGTCAGGATGAAATATTTTTGTCACGGGCGGCATACATTAGACGATTATCCAGAGTTGTTATAAATCGATCCACAGCAAGTCAATCACAAGACAGTTGCAAGTCATTAAGAAGTCTCCAGTCGCTTACAATCCATTCAAAATGTGACAAAAGCATTCTTTGTCATTGTCCATCGCCTGTTATAAGTGTAAGGTGCGGTCTACTTCACTTTTGTGCGACCTGTGACCCTCACAATGTCAGTGAACAAAATAGCCAACAGAGATGCCACCACGAGAATAAAAAGCTTGAAAAAACCCCTTCCCTTTCATCTGCATTAATACCGAACAGACCTGACGTATTTCCTTCCCAGAGAGGCTGCAGGTTTGACACAGGTTAAAAAACATTCACCAATGACCAACAGACGTATTGATTCAGGCTTTAGGCACATTCGGTTTCCAGTCCATAATCGTTCTCGCGGGTTTTCTCCGGGTAGGTACTGCGGTTTCCTCCTGCCCCGAAAATTGGACCTTCTTCCTAACTCCGCAATGTGAAGCTGATTAAATAAAGATTGTGAATAAACGTAATAGTAATTGGCGCAAATAGCCTGAGTAGCTGAAAGTGCCATTAAAACGAAAACAACAACAGGCATAAACGGTGGCGTGTGCCAACCTTCATGTCAGGCGCCCGCGTTCGGCCGATTAGCTTACACGGGGTAAACTCTGACCTGGAGATGGTCGTGTGTGCTGTATCGAACAAGCGAGTCGATTGGGACGAGTCATAGCCGTACAACTTATTGAAGCTAGTCGAACACACAGACTTACTGTTCGAAATTATCGTCCGCCAAAATACGCTACATACATCAAGAATTTCACTCACCTGCTCTAACATCCAGGTAGCTCTTCCCGGCAACTTTGAAAGTCAAAACTGTGTCAAGTGACTTCCGATCTTGATCTGACATGAATTAAGGTCTGGTAGGTCTCGGCTACTGAAAAGAATTCTGGCAAAACACGGTGGCACGTGCGAGAACGCGAGAGCTCTCAAAACAGTTGAAAATTTGTTCTGTAGCTTCAGTGATACCATTTTTGGGGATAGGTGGGGTCCACGTTAAGGATCAGCTGTGGACTTTAACATTAATAGGTACAAAAAGTAAAACGTTTAGTTATAAATTAATACAAAAAATAGGTCGACTAATTAAATGGACTAAATATTGTTTAACCTTGACAGTAACTTTTCGATGTTTTCCCAAGAATATTTTGTAGCCCGTTTTTGCCTGTAAAATGTGCCTCGCCGAAGAATGGATTAATGTTTTATATATCGCAAAGTTCAGGGGGAGAAAGATATGCGGGTGTGAAAATGACTGACTTGAAATAAAGCTAACTGAAGTTTTAGTGTCTGATTTTTAGATTCTTTTAAAATTAAGTTTTTTTAAATTACGACAAACTCCGACAAAACATTTTAGGGTCATATAAAACTACAGCCTTCAAATTTAAACATTAAACTGCCGTCAACAATGAAGACTTCACAAATTTAATTAGAATAAACGAAAACATGACAAAACTGAATTGTTGAACTGGTCGTTTATTTGTAAAGGGTTCAATCAAATGATTAGAAACCACAAAACAAAATCAAACCTTTGTCAAAATCTGGCATTCTTATTATTAAAAATGTATGACGCTAAAAACCCTGCACTGACAACCAATCAGCGGCTAGTAGTATCCTAATGCAAATCTGGTCACATGGAAACCGGCTGTAACATGACGACGGGTGGGAATATTATCTTGAGGAATGTCCAACCAGAAATGACAAGTCTGGATTCTTGTGGGTCGCACAGCAGCATTTTGAAACACGTCTTGTTGAAAGGCCGACTCACTTGCAACTGTGTGCTCATGACATCACCGTCATTGCCATAAAAACCAATGAAATTTGTTTCTTCCACCAGAGACCATCGCAACCCCAATACAAATGTATTTGTAAATAGAAACCTGCGTATTATAACTGAATAAATTATTACAAAACCAACACATAAGACCTCCGGTCCGAATTCGAGAAAAAAACTATTCAAACGAATTACAGCAAAAGCACTCTCACTGTTCACCCTGTTATTTGTGTCCCATCTTACGGCTGGTCTGGTGACCAGTTTTGTGCCTGGTCTTGTAATGGTTTCGACTACAACTTACATGTAGATGTTTACTAGAAACCTGTCAGTTTCTTAATTCAATTCCTCTTTGTTGTAACTGCATACTCTCTGCATCTGTGCCTCAAAATACCCAGGACAGAATATTCAGCAGACAATGCAGCTACAAGTTGCCCTCCTGTCTACTGAAAGTAGAAATCCAACAATCCTTTTCTTTGGGCCTTCTTTTAAATAAAATGAAGCAAATGTAACTCTTAACAAAATAACTAACGCGACTAATTTTATGATCTTAATTTCAAATTATTTTCAGGATAGCAAACCAAACTGCCTTCCTCTCTTTCATCTTTTTAAATTGGTCAAAATGACAGCAGGTTTCAGGTCTCGTGACAGGTAAGCATAATGGAAGTTGTAAAGATGCTCCACAGATGATTAAAGCAAATTTATCTCGTTATGAATGCAAGAAACGTTCACCTTGTTTTACAAAACCTTTCTTAGTGGGATTTCCCAAAACCGAATACCAGAAAAAATTCCATGTTTTGAGACACTACTTTTATTAGATAACAAAACAGGCAGTAGCATTATTTTGGTGAGCTTCCTCTTTTGAGTGCAATTTTACTGTCACTACTGATTTTTTTTTTACATTTTTAACCAAGATAAATAACTCTGGGCTTGTCCTCCTCTTCTGTTTCGATTCCCATGACATCCCTGTCTTCTTTCTTGGTAGCCTTGATGAAGTCGTTGAGCTTGCTGACCATGTCGTCCAGTTTGAACTTGAGGTCATCGCACTCTGCTTGTATCGGGTCAATGCCTGTTGAGTTGACAAAGAAATGGGGGGAGGGGTCAAATGAATTTGCAGAAAGAGGAGGACTGTGCTATCTATTGGATCGTGTACAATTAGTGGTAGCAAGTGTTTTCATTGCCGAACAACTGCTCTGCCCTTCTTGAATGTATTTACTAAGGCTGTGTCAAAATCTGTTGTCTAGAGCTAGGTCTAGGTCTTCACTGCATTGGAAATACATGGAGATGTGCGGACAGTAGACATAGCCGTAGCTCTGGAAGCCCTTTTCCGACACGGCCCAAGTACTGTTCACCCAGCGTTTTGCCTGAGCTTGCAAAGGAAAAAATATTACACACTTGCACTGGTGGGATTCGAACCAACAACGTCCAATTTACAGTGCAGATATCTTACCATTCAACCAGAGAAAAAATGCCAATTGTGGAAGGAAATATTGTAATTTAGTAACGTAAATGTTAAAATTCAATATCGTGAAAAAATTATGTTTAAATAAAGGCCACATCAATTTTTTTCCCCACAGATTTTCTATGACCGTGGGAAGCCTGTTTTGTGGTTTGGCCATCGCTCAAGTGTCTCACCTTCAATGTAAGTGTGCACCTTGCCCGCATTTTTGACTCTCTTCTCTGAGAATCCACTCCAAGCCTTAAAGCGTGTTACCATGAAGTCCACTATTTCCAGCTCATTCTGACGCTGGGCTGCATCCTCTTTCACCTGGGAAAGGAACATGAGAAGAATCCAAGACTTCAGCTTGTGAGAAAAACAGGTGGCCTACAGAAAACAGGTATGTGATTCCAACTATTAACGATCACCTGGTTTTGAAATGCATACATAGTGTGTAGTCTGATCGTTGCTCAATTGGTAACTCATGAGTCGTCTGTGTTTTTTGCAGTACTGTAGTCCAGTACTTTCCGAGTACCAACGTTCTCCG